CTTTATTTATTTTTTTTTTTTTTGGGGGGGGAGGGGGGGGGGTTCAGGGGGCTTGAGGTTTAGGCCTGGGCTTTTGGAAATTTAGGGCTTTTTGGGGGTTTAGGGTTTGGGCCTGAGGTTGAGTCTTGCGGGCTCTTGGGTAGGGTTAAGGAGAGTTAAGGGCTGAGGGGTTGGTCCCTCAGTTGCGAACTCGCGGGGGAGGGGGGGAAGGGGCGGCTTGGGTTTAGGCTTCGGGTTACCCGAAACCCTAAACCCTAAACCCTAAACCCTAAACCCTAAACCCTAAACCCTAAACATCCCTCAGCCGATAAAGCCTGAGGCAAAGCCTGACATGTCCGATCGTCCTGGCTGGAACTGGCCGGTCGCACCCCGGAAGCCAGCGCCGGCGCCGGCGCCCTGAGAGAAGAGCTTTCTCGAGGGGCCCTATGACAGATAGTGTTGGGTTCTGTCTAGGCTCATAGAAGTTTAGGGTTTAGGGTTTAGGGTTAGGGGGTTTAGGCTTTAGGGGTTAGGGTTTGGCGTTTAGGGTTTCCTGCTTTCGGACCAAACCCTGCAAGCCTAAAACCCCAAAACAGTGGGGGGGCCGAACACTTTGAATCTATGACGTATACATCTCCCCCGCCTTAAAATCTGAGGGAGGTGCGAGAACAAAAAGAAAGAAGAAGAAGAAGAAGAAGAAGAAGAAGAAGCAGCAAAACAAGAAGAATACCTTAAACCCAAAATCCTAAACTTCTAAACCCTGAACTCTAATCCCGGAGAGCCCGAAGGAGCGGCAGCTGCCAAAAGATTCGGCCATCCATCCGACCGAATAAAAACTGCAAACACTCATAAAGCGATGTTTAGGGTTTAGGGTGCATTTCAGTTGGGCTTGAGGCTGATGATGAGACTGTGGAGCTTGAAGCTTACCCTGGACGCAAAACCCTAAACCCTAAACCCTAAACCCTAAACCCTAAACCCTAAACCCTAAACCCTAAACCCTAAACCCTAAACCCTAAACCCTAAACCCTAAACCCTAAACGCCGAAGACGAAGACAGAAAATAAGCAATCACACGGTCCCCCAGTGTCCCTTCGGGCCTGTCATGTGATTTAGGGTTGGGAGTTTTGAGTTTGGTGTTGAGGGCAACCCTAAACCCTAAACCCTAAACCCTAGGCCCTAAACCCTAAACCCTAAACCCTCTACCCTAAAACCCTAAACCCTAAACCCTTACCCTAAACCCTAAACCCTAAACCCTAAACCTAAACCCTGAACCCTAAACCCTAAGCCCAAAAAATGAGCCCTGGCTCGAGAACTGGCGTATACCCTCAAATCCCGAGTCCTGGACCTGCAGAACCACCAACCGGCCCTCAATCCAACAAGACAACAGCCACCCTAAACCCTAAACCCTAAACCCTAAACCCTAAACCCTAAACCCTAAACCCTAAACCCTAAACCCTAAACCCTAAACCCTAAACCCTTAAACCCGAAACCCAAAACCCTAAAGCCTTAGCCGCCTTAACCCTAAACCCTAAACCCGAGCCCTAAACCGTACACCCATAGCCCGTAACCCTAAACCCTGAACGCTAAACCCTACACCCTAACCCCCTAAGCCCCAAACCCTAAACCCTAAACCCTAAACCCTAATTAAACCCTAAACCCTAAACCCTAAACCCTAAACCCTAAACCTAAACCCTAAACCCTAAACCCTAAACCCTAAGCCCTGCTTCTGCCTTGAAGCCCTGTGTACCGGCTCCTCCCTTGTACTGGCCGCCCTTGTAGCCGCCCTAAGGCGTTTAGGGTTTAGGGTTTAGGGTTTAGGGTTTAGGGTTTAGGGTTTAGGGTTGAGGGTTTAGGGTTTAGGGTGTAGCGTTTAGGGTTTAGGGTTGAGGGTTTAGGGTTGAGGGTTGAGGGTTTAGGGTTTAGGGTTTAGGGTTGGTTTAGGGCTTTAGGTTTCAGGGGTACCAGCATGAGACCTATACCACTAAAACTTGAAGGTTCAATGGGCGTTGAGCCGTATATGGGGTATGCGAAATTAAGGATGCGCTTTTGGAGAGGCTCTTAAACTAAGGATAGACGGAAAGATGAGTGCCAGACACCGCAGCCGAAGACCCTGAACCATGCGGAAAACCCTAAACTCCAATGCGCACTCCTGAAACCACACCTAAGCCGATACAACGCCTTCGGGGCCCCAAACAGATGTAGCAACAATCTCTCTTACAGACGGTCGCCCGAAGGACAGTCATCCCAACCTCCTGATAAATTATCAACCCCTGGCCAGAGCATCCTAAGCCCTACACCCTAAGGAACCCTTGAGACCATAAACCCTAAACCCTAAACCCTGAACCCTAAACCCTAAACCCTAAACCGGGGCCTGACCTTTTTTGGGGGGAGTTGTGGTTGCCTCTCTGGGTTGATGCCTTGCTACTTGCCCGCGTGTGAGATTCCGGCACGCGTTCGGGATTTTTTCTGGATTCTGGGGTCTATTGGGACCTAGGGTCTAGGATCTGGGGATTTGAGATTTGGAGGTTCGAAGTTGCTTTGTTTGTCCGCCGACCCTGGCGGCGTGTTGGATGGGAAAAGGAGGTGAAAACCCCTCCCCAAAACGCGGGGGGGGCCCCTTACTTCCCCTTACCCCTACCCCCCCCCCCCCACCCCCCCCCCACCCCCCCCCCCCCCCCCCTACCACCACCACCCCCCCCTTTCCAGACCTACCCCCCACCTACCCCCCCCTACCCCACCCCCCCACCCCTTAACCCCCCCAACCCACCCCCCCCCCCCCCCCCCCCACCCCCCTACCCAGGAACCGCAAACAAAATCACCAAACCCCAAACCTTAAACTTGTTCTCCTGCGGGGTCGGCGGCTTGAGCCGGAGGCTCTTAAATTTTTTGTTGTGTGCTTTCGGGTTTTTGGGGGGCTCAGTGTTGGCCGTCCCGGGGTTCAGTTTTTCTTTTTCTAGCGTAGTGGCCTTTTGCTGGTTTAGGATTTAGGGTTTAGGGTTGTAACCGATTCTGAAACTCCAAGCCCGTCACCCTCAACCCCAATCACCAAACCTGTATGAACCCTAAACCCTGAAATCCAAATCGAGGGTGACTTATGTACCTTATAGAAATTATCCACCCCAACATAACCCGTCAAAAGGATATATAATACCCTAAACCCTTCCCAAGAACTCGAAGTGCCAAATCCCTAAATCCCTAAACCCTAAACCCTAACTCCCTAATTCCCTGAACCCTAGTCAATAAACTCTAGTTCCCTAAACTCTACTTCCCTAAACCCCAAACCTAAACCCTAAACCCTAAACCCTAAACCCTAAACCCTAAACCCTAAACCCTAAACCCTAAACCCTAAACCCTAAACCCTAGGCCCGCCTTCTGCTGCTGCTCCATGGCCCGGATCTCCTCAGGCCGCGCGAAGCGCAGCCGGGCGCTCCTGAAGCCCCCGTTGAGGCTCTCAGGGATTTAGGGTTTAGGGTCTAGGGTTTAGGGTTTATAGGGGTTGAAGGTTTAGAGGATCTCAGGGATTTGGGATATTTTGGGGGGTTTATGGGTCAGGGGGGATTTTGGGGTTTTTTGGGGGGTTATGGGGTCCATAGGATTAGGGTTTGAGCGTTTAGAGGCTCTTAGAGATTTAGGACGTTTTGGCGTCTGCAGGGTTTTGGGGGTTTGGAGTTTAAAGGTTTTGGGTTAAGGGGTTGAGGGTTTCAGGCTAAGGGCGTTAGGGGTTTTAAGGGTTTAGAGGTCTAGGGGTTTAGGGTTTGGGGGTTGAGGGTTTAGGGGCTTTAGTGTCTTTAGGTGCTTCAGGGGTGTTAGTGGTGCTGGGGGTTTCAGGGGTTCAGGGGTTTTAGGGGTTTTCGGGATTTTTGGGGGGTTTTAGGTGTTTTAGGGGGTTGAATGAGGGGTTTTAGGACCGTCAAATACGCCACTCTAGCAGGCTTTGGCCTACCCAGAGACGGTGGCGATGAGAAGTTGCAGTCATCAACATCTCTCTCGCGAACCTCTCTCTATATATACGTATATATATATATATACCTGTATGTATATTCTTATTTCTTCTATTTTATCTAGTTGTTTACTTGTTTATTTACCCGGTACAAAATTCAGGCCCACATCAGGGGGTTGAAGCCCGAGCGACGAGGTAGAAACAGTGTAGGTACATGGGCCCCTAACATTGTGCCGAAAGCACCATCACCTGGAATCAGGTCTGTCGCTCGCTCTTGCAGGGCTTAGGGTTTAGAGGTTTGGGGTCTGACAGTGTGAGGGTTTAGGGTTTAGGGTTTAGGGTGCACACGCGGCTTTACAACTACAGCCCTGAACCCGGAGAGGTCTGTCCCACAAATACCATGACCGTTGATAGGCTTGGAAGTTCAATGCTTTTAGGACCCAGGCCGGAGATTTGGTGAGACTCAAGATTTCAGATTCTGGTGCTGGCCCTAGCAACGGCTCAGGCGTTTACAAGCTGTCGATCAACCGACTTGGACATGTCAAGCTTAAGGTTTGAGGTTTAGGGTCTAAGGTTTAGGGAATTAAGTTGTGGGTCAAACATCTGTAGTCGAGTCGCTCGTCCCCTTGCTCGAGCTTCTTGAATCTTTCCCGCCGTGCCTCCTGTGAAGAACAGACTAGCGAGCGTCGCCTACTTGAAGCTTCACGGGTAAACTTCGCAAACCCTACACCCTAAACCCTTACTTTCGGAGTTTAGGGCTTAGGGCTTCGGGTGCGCAACTTTCCATGAATTTCCAGCAGAGCTTCTTATGAGCCCTAGGCACGTGTACAGACCAAGAACCCTAAGCAACCTCAAACCACTTTTTTGACACTTCAGACATGGCTACGACATCCCGTGCTACATCATTCTCTACTGGCATTCTGGAACTTGTTGCAGCAGGCAAAAAACTCTATACAAGTATACTATAGAAACCACAAACCCTATTCTTAAAGCCCTTCCATTTGCGGTCAAAATACTAGCACGCAAATGAAAAAAATGAACCGGCAAAAAAGAGAAAATCAGAAATTGCATTTTCCCCCTCTTCACGCCGTTCGAACATCCGAATTCCATGGCCACAAGACCTGCTGAAGGCCAGAGCCTACACCTCCTTCTATATAAGTCTTGCAAGTCCTGAAGACCCAAACTTCGCAAACCCTACACCCTAAACCCTTACTTTCGGAGTTTAGGGTTTAGGGTTTAGGGTTTAGGGTTTAGGGTTTAGGGTTTAGGGTTTAGGGTTTAGGGTTTAGGGTTTAGGGTTTAGGGTTTAGGGTTTAGGGCCTATGTAGGGGGTTTTTAAGACCTCCGTCAGCTTGACGAAGATGTCGAAGCTCTCGACCTCCTCTTGGAGCATGGCCTGTCAACTCGGCTAGACACAGGAGTAACCTAGAAAAAAAGAGGAGGTCTTGGGTTTTAAGGGTATTGTAAGGGAACCCCAACCCCGAAGAAAGGAAGTAAGGGTCTACTCCGGGTCCCAGTCGGTTTGGAATTCCAAGGTTTCGGGTTCCAGGGTTTGGGATTTGGGGTTTGGGGTTTAGAGTTTATGGTTTGGGGTTCCAGGGTTTAGGAGGGTTCCAGGGTTGCCGGTTCCAGGTTTTGGGGTTAGGTTTAGGGTTACTGGGTTTTCGGGGGTTCGGGTTCCAGTGTTTTCGCCTTGGGTTCCGGTATCCAGGATTAGGGTTCCAGGCTTTAGGATTTAGGGTTTAGGGTTAGGGTTTAGGATTCTAGGGTTAAGGTTTGTCGGGTTTCAGGGTGTAGGGTTTGGGGTTTGGGGTTCAGGGTTCCGGGGGATTGAGGTTTCGGGTTCCAGGCTTTAGGGAATTCATGGGTACCTATAACGAGAGAGCCAAAATCGGTATAAATGGGGGTTCGGGGCTTACTTGGAGGTTCATGGTAAATATTACCCGATTATAACTGTACTTAGAACCCACTTATGAGCCCCTTAAGCGCCCTATAAGTACAGTTACAAGTACAGTTACAATTGGTTAGTAAGCACCATGAACCTCCAGGTAGAGATTCGGATGCTTGTGAAAATCCCTTAAAGGGGACCCCCCAAAAAGGGCACCACCATATTCGGAAACCCCTACTTGTACAAGCAACAAAACACGCAATCCTAAGGAGGCTTTGGCCACGTCCCACCTATGAGAGCCACGCTGCGCACGCTGCACTTACGAAATCCTTAATGAATTCCGCCTGAGGTATATGCACACTGCAATAACACATGGGCATCTGCGGTCTAATCCCAAAACAGGAGTCTTCTTCATAGATCCCGAAATACCATATAGCCCTTCTTGTCAGAACCCCCCGCCCAAAAAGAGGGTCTCCCCATTTTCGGAAGCCCCCCCCCCCCCCCGGCCAAGTAAATCAAAAGAGACAGAGCCGAAGCCTGGATCACCTGATTCTCCGGGTTGATCACGACCGTGTCCTGCGCGCTGTCGAAGCGAGCGCGGTGCTTTGGCTCAGGCTTCAGGGTCTGGACCCGATACCCAAAAACCCGAACCTACCGCCCTAAACCCCAAACCCCATAAAGCCTAGTCCCTAAGCCTTAAACCTAACCCTGTTTGATGAACCGGAAACCCGAAACCCGAAACCCTAAATCCCTAAACCCGAAACCCCAAACCCTAATCGAATCCTTAAACCCTGAACCCTTAACCCTAAACCCCGCAAAAAGCTGAACGTCAGTGACCCTCAGTCGCTGCTCAATGTGGAGCTACTGAAGATCCCGCACCCTAAACACTGGAGAAGAGGGAGCCTTGATGAAGGAGAGAAGGGCAGCGTTGTTCTCCACCTGCAGGACGTTTCAGCTATTTAGCTTGGGATGTGATGTTCCCCCTTATACTGACAGAGTCCTTAATAGGGATTTTAGTGGGGGTTTCCTGTAATCCCTATGAAGGACTCTCAGTATAAGGGTGAACATCCCAAGATTTGGCATATAAGAAACAGCACAGTGGACGGCTTCCCGTTCATGGCGCTAGACAAAAAAGCGCAGGCCTCCTCATGACCCCAAAACCTTGCACACCTTTCATGTATATGTATATACGCGTGGACATAGACCTCTGTTTGTCCCTGGCTCTGTTTCTTGATCTTTAGAAAAGCAATCGAAAACCAAAAAACAAATACGTGTGCATATACATACATGCTCACATGTATTGTAGATGTGGAACACTGAACTAGACCCAGGACCCGGGAGTGAGCCAGGAAAAAAAAGTTGCCCTTTTTGGTTTTAAGGGGATTATAAGGGAACCCCAACCCGAAAAAATGAAATAAGGGCCTACTCCGGGTCCTAGTAAATCCTTGAAGAGGGCCACTGCAGGAGCTGCGGAGTGCAAGTGTTCCTGGTTGGGATGTTACCCCCTTCTACTAACGGCTCCCTCATAGGGGTTCTAGTAACCCCCTATTGTAATCCCCATTAAGGACTGTTAGCATAAAGGGGAACACATCCCGAGTTACTGGCTTCGAACCATTTAACTTCGACGGATCGGGGCCGGGGGGGGGGGGGGGGGGGGGGCGGGGGGATTGCCAAAGTATGGGGCTTAAGGGTTAGTCACACATCTAGGTTTGCGACTAGGTTCGCACCTGTAATCTTGGCCAGATCAACGCGTGCAAAAGGGTGAAGTATGTGGACTAAGAGACCCACCCAGAACGATAACTCGACTGGGGTTATGGGGGTTTCGCCATGAAACGCACCGCATGCACCCGAGCCCGGTGCCCCGTAGTGCTTGACGTTGAAGGTCTTCTTGTAGTACTTGTTGTAGTAGAACGGCCTCAATTTGCAAGCACGCAACCCCCAAAACGACATGTACAAAAAACAGCTAAACCCAAAACCATCAATGCTAAACCCCGAACACCTCAACCCCAAAGTAGTCACCTCATGACTTACAGGTGACCACTATAGGATCCTTAGTTTTAGGGGGTGGGGTAATGTTGCATGAATATCGATACATATATGTGTATATATATATACAGATGTATACATAAAGATGTCGATTATACTGTCACATCTACATGCTGGTGCTTGGGGAGTTGGGAGCGAATTCGGATAAGAATACCCTAAACCCTAAACCCTAAACCCTGAACCCTGAACCCCAAACCCTAAACCCTAAACCCTGAACCCCAACCCTAAACCCTGAACCCTAAAACCTGTACTGCCCATCCCTGTGGCTGAAAAACTACAGTACACAACCCTAAACCCTAAAGGATCCTAAAGGCGAAGTCCTAGTCCCTAAGCCCTAAGCCCTAAACCCCAAACCCCAAACCCCAAACCCCAAACCCTAAACCCTAAACCCTAAAGCCTAAACCCTAAACCCTAAACCCTAAACCTCCTTAGGTCCAAGCAGGTGCGACTCGTGGATGCCCACGCGCTCGTCGTCCTGCGCGTCGCGTCGGAAGCTGTGGACCTCGGAGGTTCCTTACTTGGGTTTAGGGTTTAGGGTTTAGGGTTTAGGGTTTAGGGTTTAGGGTTTAGGGTTTAGGGTTTAAGGTTTAGGGTTTAGGGTTTAGGGTTTAGGGTTTAGGGTTTAGGGTTTAGGGTTTAGGGTTTAGGGTTTAGGGTTTAGGGTTTAGGGTTTAGGGTTTAGGGTTGTTAGTTGTTAGGGTTTTGGGCTTAGGGTCTTGTGCTTAGGGTTGTTTGCTAGGTTCTTCTGCAACCTTCATGAGGCTCACCCCAAGGAAAGTCATAAGGGTTTAGGGTCGTAGTCGTAGTAAGTCGTAAGGTCTAAACTTCGAAGTCGAATGGCCTGGAGCCTTTGGGGATACGACTTCGAGATTGCGACTTTATTCGTCGTACTTGCTTACCCTTGCAACTACCAAGAAATCTTCTAGTAAGCAACCTAGTGCGAAGCAACTGGAGGGTTCGGGGCTCAGGGATTCCAAGGAGCTGTCGGGGCTCAAAGCGCCAAACCCCCAACACCTAGGGGGCTTTTGCTTGGGGGCGTAGGACCCTAAATACTAAACCCTAAAGAAAGCCCTCAACCTTGAAACCCCAAAACGCAAAACCTTAGACTGGAAGGAGGATTCTCAGAGCCGATGTGGTGTAAAGAGTGCCGGGCCAAAAGGTGAAGTTCCAATCGCAGACCTGGGGTTAAAGGATTAGGGTGTTGGGGTTTGGGGGTGTTTGGGGTTTTGGGGGTTTGGCCTCAAAACCCTCAACCGTGAACCCTAAGTACATGGTTGCTGGTGGGCTGGTATTAGGGTTTCGGGCTCCTTCTATAGAGGGACTTTAGAATGCATAAGGCCTGTGTACCCTGGCTTCCTCTGGGGGGGTTTCTTCTTTGACACACAGCATTTGCCTGCAGGGCACGAGGAACACGGATTAAACCCTAAACCTTAAGCCGCTGAACCCTAAAGAAAGTTGAGCCCTAACACCTAAAACCCCAAACCCTAGAACCTTAAACCCTCAAACCCTAAAACCGTAAAACCCTAAAGCCCTAAACCCCATAACCCTAAAACCCCAAAAAGCCTAAACCCTAAATAGAATACCAAAACCCTAGAGGTTCAGGGCTTACTTCCTTCGAAGTCTTTGAACCACGCCTAAACCCTAAACCCTAAACCCCGAAACCCCTAAACCCCTAAACCCGAAGCCCTCAACACTGATCTCTCTCCCTCCAGTTCCGAGCTCAGGCTACCAAGCACGCAAGTATTCCGCACAAATTGGGTTTAGGGCTTAGGGCAGTTTAGGGTGTAGGGTTTAGGATTTAGGGTGTCTCTGCAATGGGGGCTGAGGGTTTATGGCTTCGAGGGCTTTGGGGTTTTGGGTGAGTTTGGGAGGGCTGGAGGGCATGAAGCACTCGAACGACCTCCCCCCCCCCCCGGGCCCCCAAAAATAGCGAATAAGCACGCCCTCAGCCAGAAACGCGAAGCTATCCCCCGCAATCGCCCCAAGCCTCAATCGAAAGCCACACAACTCCAAACCTTTCGGCTGCGAGCAAACCTGAACTAAACCCGACATCCTCAACCCGAATCGCTGAAGCCAGTCTCTATGGCAGGGTCCGGGTACCTACTTCAATCCAGGCGCTTACATTGAGGGGACAGTAGCCTAAAAGCAAAGCAATATAATATATAAACTGCCGATGTACAAGCCAATGCCCTAAACCCTAACCCCCGAAACCCCTAAACCCCCTGAACCCCCTGAACCCCTAAACCCCCGAACCCCCTAAAACCCCTTAGACCCCCTAAACCCACTAAACCCCCTAAACCCCCTGAACCTCCTGAACCTCCTGAACCCCCTAAACCCCCCAAACCCCCGAAAGCCCCGAACCCCCTAAACCCCTTAGACCCCCTAAACCCACTAAACCCCCTGAACCCCCTAAACCCCCTGAACCCCCTGAACCCCCTGAACCCCCTGAACCTTAAAGCCTGGAACCATTACAGGCCAAGTCGCTCAGGAGGGCCCAGTCCTATCTTCGCATTGAGGGGGGGGGGGGGAAGCGGATGAAGTTGGCAAGCAACCACAGTCTTAGGGTTTAGTGTTTAGGGCTGCTTAGGGTTTAGGGTTTAGGGTTCAGGGTTTAGGGTTAGGGCTGAGGGCTTCTAGGGTGTATAGGGCTTAGTAAGGGGATCTCACAGCAGCTAAGAAGCTGCCATGTCGGAACATGCCTTCGCTTGCACGGAAGGAACTAAGTGCTAAGGGATATGAAGGGTTGAAATCGAAGGGTTTGAGGGTCAAACTCTGTGGGTTTAGGGTCTACCCTAAGCTCTAAACCCTAAACCCTAAACCCTAAGCCCTAAACCCTAAACCCTAAACCCCAAACCTAAACCTAAACCTTACACCCCAAAACCCTAAACCCTAAACCCTAAACCCTAAACCCTAAACCGAAACCTAACCTAAACCTTACACCCTAAAACCTAAACCCTAAGCCCTAAACCCTAAACCCTAAACCCTAAACCCTAAACCCTAAACCCTAAACCTATATCAGCAGCTGAAGCCCTCCTGGCCTCGAAGGTGAACTTTGCAAAGAGCGGCTCACCGTTCACGACGTTGCCTCGAAACATGTGCAAAGCTTCGACTGCGAGGCCCAAAGCCCGAAACTCCCAATAGGGAACCCTAAACCTTACCCCTTAAACCTTAAACCCTAAACCCTAAACCCTAAACTCCCCGAAGCCCTAACAACAGGCCGAGGGGCAAATGTCTGGTACCGACATGACGTCGGTGACAGAGGACCTCACCGCGCCACAGCACCCTAAACCCTAAACCCTAAACCCGAAACCCCAAAACCCCAGCTTCATCCCCAAGAGCCCTACGAAGTGGCGGATGAGAACCCTCTTTCCCCAATTGCAGAGGTTTTAGGGTTTAGGGTTTAGGGTGTAGGGTTTAGGGTTTAGGGTTTAGGGTTTAGGGTTTAGGGTTTAGGGAGACCCCACAGATGTCAGTTGGCTCGAGAACTCCCTGAACCCTAAGCCTTAAACCAAGAAACGCGCTAACGCAGTAGGGCTCAAGCCCTAAACCCTAAACCCTAAACCCTAAACCCTAAACGATCAACCCTAAACCGCAAGGCCCTAAGGTTCGCTTCAAGGTGTTCCCATGTGTGAGGCCCTGGCCCATCCTCCGCAGGGGGCTCGTCCTCCTGGTAGGCCTTCGACAGGGTTTGGGGTTTGGGGTTTGGGGTGTGGGGTCCGGGGTTTGGGGTTGGGGGGCTTGGGGTTTGGGGTCTGGCCTTAGTAGGCTACAGGGTCTTGGGATTACAGGCTTAGGGCTTAGGCTTTCGGATCTTTAGGGGGATTAGGGTCTTGGGCTCAGTTTGGGCTTGCGCTTAGAGGCTCGGATGGTTGTGGGCTTGGGGCACCCATACAGGGCTCTCGGGGTTTGGAGGGGTTAAGGGCTTGGGGTTTAGGGTTTAGGGTTTAGGGGTTAAGGGCTTAGGGTTTAGGGTTTAGGGTTTAGGGTTTAGGGTTTAGGGTTTAGGGTTTAGGGTTTAGGGTTTAGGGTTTAGGGTGTCATATGATGATTGGTTCCATTACAGCCCCAGCCGGGGAACAACCAGCCGGAATTGGGGCAATGGAGGCCTCCTGTCCTAATAAGCCTTATACCGAGTTCCGCATGATGGTGCCTGCTTGGCGGCAAACTCGCCCTGCTTGCCTGGCAAGATGGCTGTCTTCCCAGGTTGAGGGGTTTCGCCTTGAGGGAGGTTCAGGTGGTTATTAGGGATTTGCACGTTCAGGGGGGGGGGGGGGGGGGGGGGCAGGTTTGGCAATCTTGCGCGCTGTTTATTGATGAGGCTTAATAGGTTTCGGGTTTAGTTGCGACTGCTCTCAGCTCTTCTGGGGACTCAGGGGGTCTTAGGCTTTCAAGTTGCTAGCGGCGCAGAAGCTGCGGACAAGTAAGGTTACATGCACAATCCACGCGGAAAACCCACATGTTTGCACGGCTGCCCCACATGTACCCAGAAACGATGCCTCAAGCCGGAGCTCGCAACCCTGAAGGTGTTATGTGTAGAGTTTTGGGTTTGGGGTTTAGAGTTTGGGATGTCTTATGGTGAAGGGTTATCGGGGTTCGGGGTGGAGGCGGGACTCGCAGTGCAGGTGCTCGAACAGCAATGCTTCTAGAACGTGCAGGAATTCATGCTTAGGTTTTGGTTTTGGACAAATCGTGGCGCCCGCACTGTGCCAGTCCGCCAGAACTTTCTGCCACTCAGAAGACTTGAGGTGGAACCTCAAGCGCGTGGTCTTCGAATAGAAACGTTGGGTGTCTAGGCTCCCCCGTAATCTGCAGGATGTGCGGTTGAAAGTTGAGGGCTTAGGGGTTCAGGGTTTAAGGTTAGGGTTTAGGGTCTAGGGTTCAGGGGATAGCTTTTTCCAACAGGGCATCCTGGTACATGTGTTGGGCTTTGTGATATTGTCAAAACCCCAAGTCTTAAACTGTAGATCCTTCAAAAGTGCTAGGGAGCTGTTTGTGTTTGATGCTTCTGACTGAGGGAATCGATGCTATGTATTTATGTATACATCTGTATACATATATATATATATACGTTTATATATATATATGTATGTTGAGATATGGAAAAGGGAGGCACTTCCCAAACAGGAGACCCCCTAATGTACCCTCAAAACACAATAACCACATTCGGGAGTCTTCAGAAAGGGTACCTCAAGCCTCAAAATGGAAACCCTGCAGATTCTACATTCCTGTCTCCCCCTTCAATGCCACACCTCGGCTTGTCACAAAGTCCCATCCGAGCCCCTCGCCTAAACCTGTCTACTTCGGCGGTTTAGAGCTTAGGAACCCTGGCAAATCCTGAGGTTCAGGGGCCTAAGTCCCGTGCACCTGAAGCGTTCCCACCCTACGCCGGCGGGGGTGTGGGTTCAGGGCTCAGGGTTCTGGCCAACGACATGTGATGTGCACCCGGCAGGAGGGCCGCGACTCAGTCGCTGGCCAGTCCGAAGGGACGATGTCTTCCATGCGGCACAGAATCTGCAAAGCAGCTGGAGAAAGGAGAAAGGAGGTTTAAGTTGAGGCCTCCCCCAAGCTGCCATTAAAGCGCCGAACATCGGGCCACAGAGGACCTAAGGCCCCTTAACGCAAACTGAGCTGTGAGGCCAGGGGCGGCCAGAGGTCGGGGGGCTGGAAGGTAGGTTTTGGGTTTGGGGGTTTAGGGCATTCGGCTTTGTGCTGAAGCCTAAACCCTAAACCCTAAACGCTAAACCGCGCTCTGGCCTTGTTCTTGAGGACCCACTTGTGCAGGTACTCCTGTCCCGAACATTCCAACATCCCAAAAATCAAGCCTTGAACGCTGCAAACCAGACCAACCCTTGGGGTTTGGAGTTTAGGTTTAGGGTTGAGGGCTTTGGGTTTAGGGTTTAGGCTCCGAAGCCTAACCCTGGCTGAGCGCATCATCCTGGCGTTTTGGACCAACTGAAACTCTGCAACTGAAGCCTAAACCCGAAATCCAAAACTGTTCACAGTACTCGAAACCCTAAATCCGAAACCCTCAACGCTAAACTCGGACAGTTAAAACCGAACCCTAGATGAAGAGAAGGTGGGAAAACCAAGTCTTTCTATGAGCTGGATGCATATGCTAACTCTCTCATGATGGTACTTCTATTTAGGATACAGCCTGAACCCGACTAAGTGCAAATGCATAACGGCAACCAAGCAAATCTGACATGGGTCACCTGGTTACCCTATTGGTTATCACATGACAATGTCAGACCACAACCTGAATTTAGGGCTTGGTGATTCCAAAAAACTTTACAACCCTCTCAGCCCTAAACCCTAAGCCCCTCAGCCCCTCAGCCCTAAGCCTAAGCCGTAAACCCCTGTGCCCTAAGCCCTAGCCCTAAACCCCTATGCCCTAAGCCCTAAGCCGTAAACCCCAACTTCAAACCGCCGCTTCTCCTTGCAGACCTCCTGTGGGTTCCAGGCAAAGCGGATCTCGTCGAAGCCCTGGAGGTCCAGGGTGGCTTTCGGGGTTTAGGGTTTAGGGTTTAGGTTTAGGGCAAGCACATATACAGGAAAAACAGGACAATAAAGCGCACACACACACACACACACACCTCTGCATATCTACACTTTTCCTGCTGTGCAAACATGTATGTGCGTGTATAGACATACATATGTGTGTATAGATATACACATGCAGATAGACATAAATAAATATAAATACAAATACATGTTTGTATGTGTGTGTGTAGAAGCAGTGGGCTTTTCGTTGCCTGTCTGTCCGTCTATCCACCCATATAGATACCGTTTGGGTATCGGGGGCCCAGCCATGCGAAAAGCGGCCCCACTTTCTCGAGCAGGTTCTTGCAGTCGCCAACAAGAGAGGTTATTGGTTCCCTAAACCCTAAACCTAAACTCAAAAGCTGAACCTAAACCCCGAAACCTAAACTTGCGGATCAACCGTTAAAAGGATCACTGCGCGAGTTAGGGGCACTGATCAAGAAGTTATTATGAGTTTAGGGCGCAGGGTTCTTTCTTTAGGGTTTAGGTCTGGCAAGTTCCAGGGTTGAAATTGAAAGATAAAAAAGAGTCACTGGAGCGGTTCTGTGTGCAATGAACCGTTCTTCTAAGCCATATCTGACCATAGCAAGCTACAACTTCTCTGCTTCTACCTGGATGGTACGCTGAGCCCTAAACTCGAAACCCTTCTTCCTTGGCAGAACTAGACCCAAGAGAAACCTAGGCTTAGAAGGGAACTTAAACTTAAACCCTCGTAAAAGGGAATAAGGGCCTACTCCGGGTCCTAGTTCCCTAAACCCTAAACACCCTGAACCCTAAAAGCAGGGACTAACGGGCTTTGTCAACAACCTAACTTGGAGTTTGTGGTCACTATGCACGCGGGGCCTCATCTGCGTCGGGAAGGCAGAATTTGGCAAAGTGGCCTTGTGCAAGAAACAGGATTCAGGGTCAGTTGAGGGTTTTAGGGTTTAGAGTTTGGGGTTTGGATTTCGGGTTTACGGTGTAGGATGTAGGGGCTAGAATTTAGGATGCCTTCGGGCTTAGGTCGCCATACGCAGCCCCTAAACCCTAAACCCTAAACCCTAAACCCTAAACCCCAAACCCTAGACCCTAAACCCTAGACCCTAAACCCTAAACCCTAAACCCTAAACCCTAAAGGCCACATATGGACTGACCTTGCGACTGCATCCGCGCCATCCTGGCCCCTTTCATGCCTGTGGGTTTAGGGTTTATGGTTAGTATTTGGGGTTTATGGTTAGTGTTTGGGGTTTGGGGTTTGGGGTTTAGGGTTTAGGGTTTAGGGTTTAGGGTTTAGGGTTTAGGGTTTAGGGTTTAGGGTTTAGGGTTTGGGGTTTAGGGTTTAGGGTTTAGGGTTTAGGGTTTCAGGTTTAGGGCAGCGGAAAACCCAGCCCTGCACCAACCGAGGCTGCTGAGGAGGCGGCCTCCCAGCGTCCAGCTGGTCAGATCCGTCGAGGCCTCAGAAGGCTACCGACTGTTTCCTTGTTGAGCCCTAACCCCGAAAGCCCCTATACCCCTAAACCCTAAACCTCATGTTCCCTAAACTTGCCCTAAACCGCAAACCCTCAAGATACCCCTTTAGGGTTTAGGGTTTAGGGTTCAGGGTTTAGGGCTTAGGGCTTAGGGCTTAGGGCTTAGGGCTTAGGGCTTAGGGCTTAGGGCTTAGGGCTTAGGGCTTAGGGCTTAGGGCTTAGGGTCTGAAACCGACCCTTGAGCTCGCAGCCTTCGGCGTGAAGAAGATGGCCTTCTCCTCGTCGGTGAGCGTGGCGATGGGCCTGGAGCGCCAAGACCCTGAACCCTAAACCCTAAACTCTAAACCCTAAACCCTAAACCCTAAACCCTAAACCCTAAACCCTAAACCCTAAATCCTGCGCCCGAAGCCCGAAACCCCAAACCGAAGCTCCTTCGCCCTGCGCAGGCCTCGGCTCCTCTGGCTCCTCCGGCTCCACCTCTTCTAGGGTTTAGGGTTTAGGGTTTAGGGTTTAGGGTTTAGGGTTTTAGGGTTTAGGGTTTAGGGTTTAGGGTTTAGGGTTTAGGGTTTTAGGGTTTTAGGGTTTAGGGTTTTAGGGTTTTAGGGTTTTAGGGTTTAGGGTCTAGTTGTAGGGCTTTAGGGATTTGAGGATTTAGGGTTTAGGGGTTTTAGGGTTTGTTTTTAGGGTTTCGGGTTTTCGGGTTGTAAGGTTTCAGGGCTTTAGGGTTTTAGGGTTTTGGGTTTTAGGGTTTAGGGTTCTAGGCTCTTGGGGTGTTAGATTTTAGGGTTTTAGAGTTTAGAGTTTAGGCCTTTCTTAAGGATAGTTTCCTTCATTGTCGTTACTGTATGTGCTATAGGTCGTTATTCTGTCTGCCTTGTATTTCAAAACATGACACGCCCGACAGCAACGGACAGCTCCTGGACAGAATGCCTCGTATTTCAGCAATCTCCTCAAGACTCACAGCCCGGATAATTCGATCTCCCCCCCCCCCCCCCCGGGAAATCTTGTTAAGGCATGATAACCCTTGGCAAAGCACATGATCACGCACTGACTTTCCCTTTTGAAGTATTGCATTCCCTCAGAGAGAGTACTGAGTAGTGAGTAGTGTGTAAGTGTGTGCGCGGGTTGTGGAAGGGGGGTTTAAAGAACTGTTGTTTTTTTAAACTTTCGAGGGCAGAAGCAAGATCAGTCTTATGAGAACAAAGGCGAGTAAACAACAAACAACAGGCTTTATCGAAAACCACAGTAAGGTTGCCGGGTGTGCCACTCTAAAAAAGCAAGCGCCAAAAAAGACCCGCCACAAAACTTACACACCCTAAACCCTTCCGCGGGACTTAGACTTGATTTGTCACTTCAAGGAGTTCGCCTTCTTCTCTTCCTCCTCTTGCTTCACCTCCTGCAGCGACTCGCAGATAGTGGCGAATCGGCCGGAGGCACGGGTCGGTCTCCCTCCCTCTCTCTCTCCCTCTCTCTCTCCCTCTCTCTCTCCCTCTCTCTCTCTCTCTCTCTCTCTCTCTCTCCCTCTTTATCTGCTGCGGGCGGTTTCAGGCATGCCGTACCCCTGCAGGAAGCCTGCACCGATTGTCGGAGCCATACTCCCCTGCGTGGTTTCCGCGGCTGTGAGGTGAGTTGCAATGTGAGGTTGAAGTTGCACCTTAAGCCCCAAGCCCCAAGCCCCAAGCCCCAAGCCCCAAGCCCCAAGCCCCAAGCCCTAAGCCCTAAGCCCTAAGCCCTAAACCCTAAACCCTAAACCCTAAACGCTATGCTTCATGAGCAGAGATGGATGCTTCCAGCTGCCTCTTCAATGCGCGCCACGACACAGCCCTAAGCCATAAGTCCTCTACGGATAGCCGCAGCAATCATGAGAATGATGATCACACAAGCAATCCAGAAAACGAAGGCCATACATACCCAAAAGCCTCTCAACCCTAAACTCCAAGCCCTAAACCTAAGCCCTAAGCCCTGCCCTAAACCCCAAACCCTAAACCCTAAACCCCAAACCCTAAACCCTAAACCCGAAACCCTAAACCCCAAACCCTCAACGAAAATGACCCTGGGCTCCTCCAGCTTCACCTGTCGCTCGTGGAGTCGGATGGGGGGGGGAACCCGAAACCCTAACCCCAAACCCTAAACCCCAAACCCTAGACCCTAAAACCCTAAACACTAAACTTAAGACTTTCATTCTGTGGTAAACATTGTAGATGATCACTCTAATTTTCTAGCGATTTCGGAGCGATTTCGGAGTGATTTTTGTGGAGTGATTTTGGAGTGGTTTAGTGACTAAACCCTTTTTCGGATGGCGTCGGGCTTCGGCGTTCGCTTTTCATCAATGCGATTGCGATGGATATTACCTATGTTTACACTCGTCTACTCCTATATTCATACTCCTACAAGATCCGGAAACTCAAAAAGCTTGAAGTCCAATCTGCTGGCTATGTAAGAATTGTCAGGTGACGAAGAATGCTGCAGCTTAGTAGCCCAGAAACCATGTCATAGTAAGGGCACCCAAAAGCTTGCCAAAAAGCGGGGTAACGGGCACCACTCCACTGAGCTACCAAGACAGTGGTCAGTGCTGATTCTTTGCCCTTGGTGTGGCTGGTTACGAAGTCACCCTGAAGCCCGTATTGAAGCGCCCGAAGCCTTGGACTTAAACCAATCCTGAACCCGAAGCCCTGACTCCCAGATACCCTACAAACCCCACAAACCCTACAAAACCCTGCAAACCCTGCAAACCCTACAAACCCTGCAAACCCTGCAAACCATCAAACTTCCAAACAAAGAACTTCGCACCTCGCCCTCCATCTTGACATCTGGCTTCGCTTCGCCCTGCTCCTCCTTGACTTCGCCTTGGTAGGTGTTTTGGGGTGAGGATGAGGTTTAGGGTGCAGGGTGTCGCGTTCAGCGTCCGGCGCTTATTCTAAGGGTTTTCATGGGCCCCAAGGGCCCTAAACCCCAAGCCCCCCTACACGGAAGGCACTCCCTCAGCCTCCCACCAGCTGGTGCCGCCTGCGGGACGCCTTCCGCGGGCGGGTTTGCCTCTGGACAACGGCATTGAACGCCATTGGGCAAGGAAGGGGAAAAAAAACTACTTATCCAGGCAGGCTAGGCAAAAGAAGGGGAAATCATGTAGCCAGGAAGCATGGGGGAGACTGTGCTTTGCCTTTTTTTGAGCCGTGGATTAGGGCCTATTTTGTGAACTGGGGATTGGCAATTTTCCCCCCGGCGGAGGAAAGTTTAGGGTTGGGTTTGGCACAAGGCACAGCAACCCGACACCCCAGTAACCTAGGAAAAGCAACGTAGAAAACCGGCAGCCTTCTTGGCTTAAAGGGATGCATCATAAACAAACCCATGAACCCATACAACCATAAAACCATAAACCCTTAAACCCCAAAACCCATAAGCCCATAACCCATAAACCCCTGAACCCTAAACCCATTAAAGAAAATGAAAACAATAAAAAAACCCTTGAAAAAAACATAAACCCATAAACCCGTAAACACCAAACCCTAAACCCTAAGCCCTAAACCCTAAGCCCCAGACCCTAAAAACCCTAAAGCCGTGGGGGCCTCAAACCCATAAACCCCTAAACCCTAAACCCTAAGCCCCTAAACCCTCAGCCCGAGACCCTAAAACCCCAAACCCCCCTGATTTGCCTCCACCACCATGGGCTCGGCGTCCACAACCACGGCGCCGTCTCCGGGCGGAGTGGGCTGGATGGGCGTGCCATCGGGGCCGATCTCGATCACGGCCGCCTGTGCCTGAAAAGCGGGGGCAGGGTTTAGGGCTTAGGGCCTGAAGATTCATTGGGTAGCTAGTCGCTCAGGTTCATAAGTACAGTACAGGTAGGTAACAGTAGTACTTGATCCCTGAAGCCTGAACCCTAAACCCTAAACCCTCAACCCCGTCTGTCCAGCGCGGCCTGCTGCTGCGCGAGAAGCTGCGCTTTCACTGCCTGGCTCGTGCATGTGAAGGAAGTCAAAACACCTTCAACAGAACTCTAAGGTTTAGGGTTTAGGGTTTAGGTTTTAGGGTTTGGGGTTTAGGGTTTAGGGAGGAAGGTGCTGGATTACTAGACCCAGGAGCAAGCTAGGCATAAAAAGGGTAACTACCCTTTTTGGTTCAAAGGGGCTTCTAAGGGAACCTAAAACCCCCCAAAATATGGGAATAAGGGTCTACTCTGAGTCCTGGATTAGGGAGTAAGTGGCAGGCGGAAGCATAGACATCCCCTAGCATAAGGCCCTCGAGGATGCTTCCCGCAACACCCCCCAGTCCTAGAGCCTCAAGCTCGGCTTCTCTGAACCCCTACAAGACTCAAGTCTTAAGAGGCTTATGTCATCTGACATCCTCTAAAGATGCTTAGGCTTTCGGACCCTAGGGTTTAGGGTTTAGGGTTTAGGGTTTAGGGTTTAGGGTTTAGGGTTTCGGGTTTAGGGTTTAGGAGCCTTAACCCGAAGGCCTTCAACCCCAAGCCCCGAGGACCGCCTCGGCCTGAGCCATTGCCTCCGCCTTGCAGCGGATGCAGCACATGCGCAAGAGCTTCTACGAAGAAAGAAGGCCCTTGGGCCTTGGGGTTTGGGGTTTGGGGTTTGGGGTTTGGGGTTTAGGGTTTGGGGTTTGGGGTTTAGGGTTTCCGATATTAGGGGTACCGTAATGGGGTCCTTAATTATAAGGGGATCCGAGTATTTGCGGGTTTATATGAAGGGGTCGTTGTTATCATAAACCATCACATGGGTTTTGGGTTTCGGGGTATAAGAGGGCAAGGTGATTTGGGGGGTTCTGGGGGTTTGTAGAGGTTGAGGGGGGTAGGGATTTGGCTTCAACATGTAGGGTTTTGGGAGCTCAGGGTATTTAGCATGTACTTTGAGGTTTGGGGTGCTTGGGGCTTTCGGAGAACCCCAGATGTAAAACTTGTTTTTACGCAGGGCCGAAACACTCTCAACCCTGAAGCCCAAACACAACCTAGACCCCTCAAACCCGAAAATTAAACTCCCCTAAACCCTGAACCCTAAACCCTACACCCTAAACCCTAAACCCTAAACCCTAAGCCCTAAACCCTACTCTGCACCCGGACACCAAAGACTCAAAGACCCTCAAAATCCCTAAACCCCTGGGCCTGAGCCCGGGCCAGCGCGTCGGCCTCAGCCTTCCTGCGGGCCTGCAGGAAGGGGTCGGAGGTTGAGGGTTTAGGGTTTAGGGTGTAGGGTTTAGGGTTTAGGGTTTAGGGTGTAGGGTTTAGGGTTTAGGGTTTAGGGTGTAGGGTTTAGGGTTTAGGGTTTAGGGTTTAGGGTTTAGGGTTTAGGGTGTAGGGTTTAGGGTTTAGGGTTTAGGGTTTAGGGTTTAGGGTGTAGGGTGTAGGGTTTAGGGTTTAGGGTTTGTTTAGGGTTTAGGGTTTAGGGTTTAGGGTTTATGGTTTAGGGTTTAGGGTTTAGGGTTTAGGGTTTAGGGTTTAGGGTTTAGGGTTTAGGGTTTAGGGTTTAGGGTTTAGGGTTTAGGGTTTAGGGTTTAGGGTTTAGGGTTTAGGGTTTAGGGTTTAGGGTTTAGGGTTTAGGGTTTAGGGTTTAGGGTTTAGGGTTTAGGGTTTAGGGTTTAGGGTTTAGGGCCCCTGAACCCCTCTCTACTTTAGGGCTTAGGGTTCAGGGTATAGGGTTTAGTGTTTAGGGCTTGGGGTTTGAGAACGCAGTTCCTTCTTCTTGGGTTGGATTTGTGTGGCTTTGTTCAAGGTCTTTGGGTGAGGGGGTTTAGGGTGTCTGTGATTGGGCTAAACCCTCAGGGTTTTGGGTTTAGGGTTCAGGGTTTTGGGTTTGGGTTTGGGGGTTTTAGGGTTTAGGGTAGTATAGGGTATAGGGTATAGGGTATACGGTTTAGGGTTTAGGGTTTAGGGTTTAGGGTTCAGACCCCTAACCCCCAAACCCCCGATGCCTCCTCGAGCTCCCTCTCCCGGGCGCGTAATTCGCGCTCGCGCTCCTTCTCCGCCTTTCGGCTCGGATGTTGCAAGCTCCGCAAAAGGGGCTCCAGGCATAGAGCCTTATAACCCTAACCCTAAACCCTAAACCCTAAACCCTAAACCCTAAACCCTAAACACATTAAGGGCCCATGTAACTTCCCTTAGACCTTCCCCAAACCCCAAACCCTGGAAGCTCATGTCGAGCTGCGCTCCTTCCCGGCATTTGGAAGACCCAGGCTTTAGGGTTTAGGGTTTCGGGTGTAGGGTTTAGGGTTTGGGGCTTAGGGCATAGGGTTTAGGGTTTAGGGAAAAGCTGATGGCTTGGGATTCAGGAGCTCGGGGTTTTGTGGCTTTCTGCGGTTTAGGGTTTAGGGTGACATATCAAAGGCCCTGTGGCTTATGGCTTGGCAGTGGGCAGGGGAGGGTCCGCGCGAGCGTCTAAGTACTGCACGAGCTTTGGGTCTATGGGGGTGTACGTAGGCGAACAGGGTCCTCTACACTACCCTACATCGTACCCCAATCCCCATGCTAAACCCTAATCCCTATAAACCCTAACCCCTAAAACCCTAAACCCCAAACCCTAAATTAAGCAGATGTAGTGTAGCATCTAGTACTGCCACTTGGGATGTTCCCCCCCATACTAACAGTCCTTAACAGGGATTATGACACAGTAGGGGGTACGAAAACTGTAGAATTTCCATTAAGCACTGTTTGTATGAGAGGGAACCCTAAACCCTAAACCCTGAACCCTAAACCCGAAACCCTAAACCCGAAACCCTAAACCCTAAACCTTAAACCCTAAACCCCAAACCCCAAACCCCAAACAGCCACTCTGCATGTGGGCACCTTCCTCAGCTTCCACTCCTCGTCCAACTTTTGCTGCTTCTCCTCCCTGGGCACAGAGTTGGGCCACTAAGACGAAGCTTCTGAAAAATTTAGGGTTTAGGGCTTAGGGTTTAGGGTTTAGGGTTTGGGGCTTAGGGTTTAGGGTTTAGGGTTAACCCTAAACCAGAGATCCTGAATCCTAAACCCTAAACCCTAAACCCTGACCTGCCGGTAGGGGAACTTGGACAGCACTGATTCTGAGAGACCGCCGCCCAGATCAGACATCGAAAGCTTAAATGGCTGGAAGACATACGGCCCAAACCTGCTTGAAACCCAACACTCAATTGAACCCTAAAACCCTAAACCCTAACCCCTAAACCCAAAACCGAAAACCCAAAACCCTAAACCCTAAACCCTAACCCTAAACCCCAAACCCCAAACCCCAAACCCCTTCCTTTCGGGCGTACAATGGCGGCTCAGGGCCCTGCAGCAGTCCCTTGTGGACAATCTCCTTAAACTCTGCAGGCGGCTCGCCCATGACCACCTGCATTTGAGGATTTCGGGTTTAGGGTTTAAGGTTTAGGGTTTGGGGTTTAGGGTTTGGGTTTGGGGTTTAGGGTTTAGGGTTTGGGGTTTGGGGTTTAGGGTTTAGGGTTTAGGGTTTTGGGTTTAGGGCGAGGGCTCAGGGCTGTTACAGGGGCCCTTGTGTACAGTACTTGAAGGTTCACGGAGCGGTAATTGGTGTTGAAGGTTCTTGGTCGTAAGAAGGGCTACAAACACCCCAAGCAAAGCTAGAAGCAGTTGGAGGTATGGCCACCCTACTCGTAAGCAAGCCTCCAAGTCTGGGCCGAAACCTCCAAGGTTAGGACCAACAGGGTTAGGAGCCTGCCAGCCTTCTGTTAAGGTGGACCTTATTTGGCCACTTCAAAAAAGAAGCGTTTTGGGTTTAGGGGTTTAGGGTTTAAGGTTTCGGGCTTAGGACTAAGTCCTCCCGGCATTTGCAAAGACCTGCACGCTCCCCCCACATGTACTTGCATCGATCCCTTCGTTGCCTGCGCAACCAGCTTGAAGCCTGGCCGCTTGAAGCGGCGGAGGAGCATCTGCCTGAGAGCGTTGCGCTTCAACTGCGGCTCAGCCCCCAAAATCCGGATCCCCAACGCCCGAAAGCCCGAAACCCAAGCAAAGGCCTCTCTTCCTTGAGGAGGTTGCTTTTCACCTCCATGACCTGGGCAGTGGGCTGCCCTACGCGGGATCCCCTATATTATAATACATTATTAGAATAGGGTCTAGGGTTGCGGGTTTACGGTTTAGGGTTTAGGGGCTTAGGGTCTAGGGTTTAGGTCTATTATAGAATAGTAAACCTATAAAGGGACCATAAAGGAATACGACTAGTAGCTATTCCGACACCTATAGCATCCAATCAGACCAGCAGTCCAGACCCCAAGGGAAGGCACCCAAACCGGACAAGGGCCCCTCTGCAGGGTTTAGGGTTTAGGGTTTAGGGTTTAGGGTTTAGGGTTTAGGGTTTAGGGTTTAGGGTTTAGGGTTTAGGGTTTAGGGTTTAGGGTTTAGGGTTGCTGCAAAATGTTCATCGGCTTCAGACACTGACAGTCCATCCCCCAAACGCGGTTGGGCCAGAAACCCTCTTGGTTTGCGGCTTAGGGTTTAAGGTTTTGGGTCTTGGGTTGTGGGTGTCACAACTGCCATGCATGCACGTCAAAGCTCACACTGCAAACACAAGTGCAAAGTGGGACGCTAACGAAACCCACATCGTGTGCAACACCCCGCTGTCCAAGGCCCTGTCCTATACATGTATATCCTACTCCCCTAATCATCCCTGAACCCTAAACCCTAAACCCTCAACCCTAAACCCTAAACCCTAAACCCTAACCCCTAAACCCTAAACCCTAAACAACCCTAAACCCTAAACCCTAAACCCTAAACCCTAAACCCTAAACCCTAAACCCTAAACCCTAAACCCTAAACCCTAAACCCTAACCCTGAACCCCAAACGCTACACCCTATAGGGTGTAACCCTTGAAGTGCCCTAAGCCCAAGGCCACGTAGCTGCGAGGCTGAGTGGGCGCCACGGTACCGAGGATCTTCCTGACCTGAAGGGTTTAGGGTTCCGGGGGTTTAGGGTTCCGGGGGTTTAGGGTTTAGGGTTTAGGGTTTAGGGTTTAGGGTTTAGGGTTTAGGGTTTAGGGTTTAGGGTTTAGGGTTTAGGGTGTAGGGTTTAGGGTTTAGGGTTTAGGGTTTAGGGAATCTGGGACTTGGGGTTTCGGAAGTTTCGGGTTAGGGTTTCTTGGGGGCGGCTAGGGATTTGGGGAATAGGAAGGGGAGGCTTCAGGGACAGGGATTTGGGTTCAGGCGGTCGAGGGGGTGCGGGTTTCAGGGCTGATGGGCTTCATGCGGTTAAGTTTGAGGGTTTGGGGGGCTGGGGTTAAGACGATTAAAGCCCTAAAGCCCTGAAGCCAACACAAACAACCCTAAATTCCCAAAAGCCCTGAACCTTAAACCCAGAGGTGAAAGGGGCTGAGCCCAGTGCGCTCCAGTCATCGAGTAGCGGAAGGCCCGTCTGGAGATCTGGCTTGTCCTTGAATGGGTTTAGGGTTTAGGGTTTAGGGGCTTTGGGATCTATGGGTTTTGGTTATAAGGGTTCTTTGGGTGTTTTTGGCATTGAAGAATTTTTGCTTTTAGGGATTGGGGCATTCTTTCTTTTTAGAGCTACGTCTTGATCATGACCTCCCTCCGACCTCCTTCCTCCTTCCTCCTTCCCCCCCCCCCCTCCAAAAAAAAAACGAGACCTTCCAGTTCAGGGCCTGTGTGGAAGCAGGGCTAATCCTAAAGCTTTGGAGAGCACGCAGAATCGGGCCTAGAGAGGGCTCTTTACGGATCTTGGTGAGTGCGTATAGGCTGCTCTTTGCGGGGTACAACCTCGACCCAACAGTAACCTGGGAAACCCTAAACCCTAAACCCTAAACCCTAAACCCTAAACCCTAAACCCTAAACCCTAAACCCTAAACCCTAAACCCTGAACCCTAACAAAAAAAGGAACTACACGGCCTACTCTGCGTCCTAGCACCGAGCTCTGGGCATTGCAGTGCTTCCAGCTGTAGGTCTTGTTGCGGAAGACGCCGGACCGCTCCGCCCAACTGGGTGCCAGCAGCGTTACATCAAGGGTTCCGAGCTTGGGGTTCAAAGGCCCCCTAAACCCCTAAGCCCCTAAAGGTTTAGGGTTGAGGGTTGAGGGGTGGGGGTTTAGGAGAACAACTTGGAATAGGCCCTAAGCCCCTAAAGGTTTAGGGTTGAGGGTTGAGGGTTGGGGTTTAGGAGGACAATTTGGAATAGGTCCTTGAAGCCCTCTGTACAGCGACTTTCCGAACAGAGCCGAGGGTCTTAGGGCCTAGGCGGCGCGCCCTCTGCCCTTTTTTTGGTTTTGGGCTCCCTTCTAAAGTAACCAACCCAGATTATTATAGGGTTGCTGGGCTACCAAGGATCAGGGCTTAGGCACTTTCTGCTTGAAGTTTCATCGGTACTCTTTTCGTAGAGATATGAATACCTCAAATGAGGAGTCAGAACCAAGCATATCTAGAGCTGCTCCTCATAGCCCACCTTTCGAGCTACCCGCGAACCACCCTAAACCCTAAACCCTAAAACCCTAGAAGGACCATGGCTCTACCCACGTGAAGGGAGGGGGCCAGGGGTCATCCTGGGAGGGAGACCCGGGTTGTCTCAATTCGGGGGCTTAAAGAGCTGAGGGTATATATAGGGTTTAGAGTTTAGGGTTTAGGGTTTGGGGTTTAGGGTTTAGGGTTCAGGGCTGAAAAGTCTACACAAAGGAATCCGCGGAACGGCGGCATTCTCTCCTAAACCTAAAACCCTAAACCCCTAAACCCCTAAACTCCCAAACCCCTAAACCCTAAACCCTAAGTTTACTAAAGCCCTAAACCCTCAACCCCTAAACCCCCTAAACCCCTAAACCCCTTAAACCCTAAAAGGCCCTAAACCCCCAGGAGCTTGAAGAGACTGCGCCCCCGTGCTCCCCGATGGCGCGGTCCGACAGCTCGACGAACCTGCCAAGCGAAGCTATCGGCTCCCTGGTGACGAAGGGGAAAGAGGGTTTAGGGGTTTAGGGTTTAGGGTTTAGGGTTTAGGGTTTAGGGTTTAGGGTTTAGGGTTTAGGGTTTAGGGTTTAGGGTTTAGGGTTTAGGGTTTAGGGTTTAGGTTTTAGGGGTTTAGGGTTTAGGGTCTAGGGTCTAGGGCAGTGTTCCAAACCTACCATTTGCTTAAGAAGCCCAAAAAAATCAAAGATGATAATCTCTGCATTACCCTTATAAGGAAGAACTTGCTTTTTTTGGGGGGGGAGGGTTCTTAAGCCAATAGTAGAAGCCCCTTAAGCTCGAAACCCTGGAAGGAGGCTCAGAGTTTTGGGCCCCTTTTAGGGCTTCAAATCAGGGGGTTGTGCTGACTCCCAAGCCCCAAACCCGAATATCGGTGGATCCGATGCGCCATAAAAGATCTGTTGGACTTTGCTTGAAGGTTCAGGCTTTAGGGCTTTAGGCCCCATCGCGCAGATATAAGCTGGGTTCAGGGAAGCTGGGTTGAGGGCTTGGATTCAAGTAGGGTCATAAGCACCCCGACTCCTGGACACCCAATCGTGCGATCCTCTACTGTCCCCCACGCCATCTAAACCGCACACAACATACACGTCACATGCAAGGCTTGACAACCGGTTAGTTTGGGCTTTTCTTGGGTAGCTAAGATCCCCCCTCAACCCCGAACCCTAAAGGGTGGAGGAAGCCGATCGATCCACCCTCGGCGCCAACCTCCGAATCTCTAGTGTCGCATGGTCGCACCCCAGCCTGTAACTGCAAACCCCCGAACCCCTACAACAACCCTAGAAGCCCGATAACCCTTCAAAACATAAAAAGCCCGGAGGCCTAAACCTCAAAAAACCCTCAAACCTTTCTACCGAAACACACTGCAGCCCTAAACCCTAAACCCTAAACCCCAAACCCTAAACTCTAAACCCTAAATCCTAAGCCCTAATCCCTAAACCCCTAGACCCCTAAACGCCTAACAGCCGCAAGCAGCTCTGTGAGCCGAACGCAGCAGGTTTAGGGCATGAACCTCGCAAACCCTGGAGCCCAAAAACACCCTGAATCCCTGCTAGACCCAAAAGTAACCTAGGAATAGAAAGGGTGCCCTTTTGGTTTAAAGGATGCCTGTAAGGAAACCTGAACCTCCCAATCAGGGGAGTCAGCGCCTACTCTGGGTCCTAGCCTGAGAACGCAAGACCTCAAAGGTCAAGAGCCTAACACATCCTACAACCACAAACCTCTAAACCCACAACTCCCACAAGCCAAACTCTCTTAAGAACCTTAGCAATCCCCAAGACCGAGTCGCCTTAAATAGACCCTAAACCCTAAACGCTGAACATCACAAGGTCCAATCAATTGTGTCCGGCCTTGGGTTCTTGGCCAAGAAGTCCTGGGTTTAGGGCTTAGGGCTTAGGATTTGGGATGTTTGGGGGAGCCCCGGTTCTGTGGATCTTGGGGATATATTTGGAGACGCAGAGTTCATAAAATGCATTGGGCTTCGCATGGGTGGCGAACTGCTAGTTGCAGTGTTTCCTTTACCTTGGGCGGTTAAACCCACCAAACCCTCAGCCCTGAACCCGAAACCCGAAACCCGAAACCCTAAACCCTAAACCCTAAACCCTAAACCCTAAACCCTAAACCCTATACAGCCCGAAGCCCTGCAGCCCGAGACTTTCTTGAGGCGAGAGGCGTCCAGCCAGTCAAAGGTGCCCTCGTCCGGCACGGCGATGGGCACCAAAATCTGCAAAGCTTCATTTAGGGCTGTATAGGGTTTAAGCGTTAGGGTTTAGGGTTTAGGGTTTAGGGTTTAGGGTTTGGGGTTTGGGGTTTGGGGTATAGGGTTTAGGGTTCCTAGACCCTTCTTAGGCCCCAGCACCAAAAGGGGTTGCAGTTTAGAGTTTAAGAGTTTAGAGTGTAGAGCTTGGAGTCTAGAGTCTGGAGTTTGGAGCTTAGAGTTTAGGGTTTAGAGTCTAGAGTTTAGAGTTTAGAGTTTAGAGCTTAGGGATTAGGACATATACGATATGCCCTAAACAGAGACGCCCAAAAGTGTCTTTACGCCTTGTTTCGTTGCGACTTTTGCCGACCCTTGATGGTTGTCTGGCTTAGGTCGCAACACTCACAATAGGGCTTGGGTTTAAGGTTTTAAGGTTTAGGGTTCAGGGCTTAGGGTTTTGGGTCGGGGTTCTGGCTCAGCCTTGGATACCTGGGTTCTGAAACCTAGGACTTCGAGTCGTGTTGCGCGCGCGCCTCATACTTGCCGTCACTGGGGGTAGCCTGGCGCAAGGTCCACGCTGGCACGGCACTGCTGCTTTCAGTCAGGGTTTCGGGTTTGGGGCTTCGATGGGTTCAGGGTCCCGGGTGTCCTTTGCCATCTTGACTTGAACACCTGGGCAGCAGCATGCCGGTCATAAAACCCCCAACCCCGAACGGAAGGGCCATCAAAGAAGCAGCCGGCGTGGCATGCCCATTCACCGCATCCAGCGCTGGCGCCTGCTGCATGCAAGGGCCAGCATCGTGCCATTAGTGGAGGATTGTGGATACCTTCCCGTGGGCCTGTTCCCCAAGGCCTCTTCAAGAAAGTATGGCAACCCTAAGCCGCTTCTA